TTTTAATATCTAATTTTCATTTCCGTAGCTTTTATCTCCTGAAGACTTCGATAAATTTCTCAACCGTAGCCTAGCAACAGCAGAAAGTCAAATTGCAAACAGCTTCCACTGCAAAACACCTAATTGTCCCGGATGGTGTATCTATGAAGACAACTTGTTAATTCTAGAACATGATCACTAAAGGCGATGCCATGAAATGTCCGCAATGCGAGATTATTCTTCTGAAGAAGGATGGCTGTGATTGGATGAGGTGTAGCATGTGTAGATTGGAGATTTGTTGGGCGACGCGGGGATCTCGATGGGGGCCATTGTTAGTACTGCGCTTGCTCGATTTTAAGTTATAGGTAGAGCGAGCACTCCCTCARAGATATTTTTGTTTTACAGCTTTTTAAATTTTAGTGGTGCAATGCACTAGTCAATTAAAAACCCCGACCCACGGGACAGGGTGGGGAATTAACTTGGCGAGACCGGGGATTTAACGCACAGTTACTTATAACGTTAATGCACGGGTATACGGGGAATTAAACACGTCGTTCAACAGTCTAACAATTTTAACAGCATAACAACTTCATTAATTTGAACAATAATTTTTTCCACGGGGAACCGGGAAAAGTGCTAAATCCAACACTACTAGTGTGAACAAGAATGTTCAATTCCCAGCCCTGTCCCGCGGCCATCTTAGTTTGCAAATTATTATGGGGCGTCCGGGGAAATAAAGATTTGTTACAGTAATGGCGTCGATTGATATTAACAGAAAAGACAATTTAAGACGGCACATCAATCACCCTAGCCATAAAAACACACACAAACACACGAAACTTTACATACTTTTCCGTCATTTTCGATATAATTTGCCCCCTRGCAAGATGGCCGTCGTATCATCGAAGTAGTTCATTGACTAATGCACAACAAGACACCTTGGCTTTTGTTTATTGCACCAATAGCTTCGAATTTTCAATATTCAATATTAACAGACATTTTAAAATTTGATTCCCAAATAGGTTTCTGTAAAATTCAATTATCTAAATCGTGAATTAGTTAAATAGTAGACTAATAGAGGTCAGTAGATCATGTTTCATAGATATTGCTTTCTTTGGTGGCGATTTTTAAATTATACATCGATTAACGAGTAACGTTTTCTTCACGGGTTATACAAAATCACTCTAATCAGTTATGTCATGACATTGTAAAAACTAAAATAGAGACCTTATTAAAAAAGTTGCCAAACAGCAGTATTTACAAGATTACATTCCTGGGAACTTTAAATGGGCAACATAGTGCATCAASCATGATTCCCATCCAGTTGAGTTTACACACGTCAAAGAAAACACTTAATTTCTAATATGTACTCCCATCCCCTCCCCTCCCCTCCCCTCCTCCCTAAAGAATTATCTCTTAAATGCTTGTCTGTTCCAGCTTGCTTACACCATAAGTTTAGTAGGCTTTACATTTGCATAAGATGTTTGATCTTTCGTTCTACCCCAGTGCCAAATCTGTTGGAAGCCCTTCGGAGTTCAATGGTTTGCAACCAAGCTATTCTTATGATAATTACCCTACTGAAAGATTCATT